AAAATGTCCAGCACACCTACAGCCTAGGGAATGACCTGCTGGGTGGCACGGAAGTGGAATGTTCATCTTGGAGTCCACTAGGACTCCAAGATCCCTTTCCACTTCCGTGCCACCCAGCAGGTCATTCCCTAGTCTGTAGGTGTGCTGGACATTTTTCCTCCCTAGGTGCAGCACTTTGCATTTCTCCTTGTTGAACTGCATTCTGTTGTTTTCTGCCCACTTGTCCAACCTGTCCAGGTCTGCTTGCAGCTGTTGCCTGCCCTGGATTGTATGAGGCAACACATTTAACATTTCTACTATACTTCTTCCAAAACAGAGAATACCTCCATTTACTGAACAGTGTGGTTAACAAATTTAGGTACAGTGGAGTCGCATAATACGCGCATTTAACTTATGCGAATTCAACTATACGCACTCGGCAAAAAAGAGAAAAACAACAATTTAAATAGTGTGGGCAATTCCACCTGCCATTCCACCCAATGAGTTCCCGCCTCTCATAATGTGAGCATCTTGCCGCGCTGAGTGTGATTCTAGTGTTTAAAGATACGTATGTTTCATACAACATGGCCCCTAAATGCAAGCCAACTACTTCATCTGGTGCTCAACCGAAGAAATAGCGATCTGTTCCAACGCCGGCGGAAAAACTGGTTGTGTTGGACTTATTGAGAGATGGTATGTCGGTCTCTAATGTGGTGCGTAAATATGGCCACAACAAATCTAGCATCCGTGCCATCAAGATTCAAGAGAGAGATTTCATCAAGCCGTGGCTCTAATAACTGCTAAGGTGATGAGCCAAGTGCGCGATAAGACTTTAGTGAAGACTGAAAAGGCACTAAACTTATGGCTGGAAGACATGAACCGTAAATGTGTGCCTATTGATGGCAACACATTGCGAGAAAAGGCTCTTAGCTTCTACGCGCTGTTCAAACCTCCCGCCAAAGAGGGACAGCCTTCTGATGAGAAGGAATTCAAAGCCAGCCAAGGTTGGCTTAACAGTTTTAGGAACTGCTTGAACATCAAAAATGTGCAGACTACTGGTGAAGCTGCATCTGCTGATGAATAGGCAGCAAAAGCCTACCACGAACAATTAAAGAAAATCATAGAAGAAAAGGGCTATCTTCCGAAACAAGTTTTTAATGCTGACGAGACTGGACTCTTCTGGAAAAAAATGTCCAACCGCACTTAGGTTTCGAAATCAGAAAGACAAGCCCCTGGCTTCAAAGCAGCTAAAGACCGTGTGACTGTGTTGTTTTGTGGCAATGCAGCTGGGCATTTAATAAAGCCGGGCTTGCTCTACAGGGCTGCAAATCCCCATGCCCTAAAAGGCAAGAACAAAAATCTCCTGCCTGTGTTCTGGCAAACAAATAAAAAGGCTTGGGTGATGGCAGCATTACTTCTGGATTGGTTCCACAAGTGTTTCATTCTGGAGGTCAAGCGGTACCTCGAAGAGAAAGGACTTGACTTTAAAGTGTTGCTGATCGTAGACAATGCTCCTTGCCACCCTGAGGCACTCCGGTTTGCGCATAATGACGTTGAAGTCATCTTTCTCCACCCCCATCCATAATTTTGACTATATGCAATATTCGCCTTAAGCGCTGACTTTAGAACCTAATCCCCGCGTAAGATGCGACTCCACTGTATTCCTAATTTAGCCAACAGCCGATTCATAAATGTGGATCCAAAAATAAGACTTTACAGAAAGTTCATAAAGTTTTTATTTCTTTCTCCAAGAATGTCAATCCTAATCCACAAAACATAAATAGAAGTGATGTATTGAAATCCATACATACCATTTGCTACATACGTAATCTTGCATAGGATATTGTCTCTGCTTATTTCTTTGTTTCCTTCTGGTGGGCTTACCAACGTCTGACAGATCATAGCAATGTTTATTTTGGCACGAACACATCGATTGTTCAGCTGCAGAGAAATTTAATGTTTTATATACACATTAATTCAAATCTGCCTCAATGCTTTTTAACAGCTAAGTGCCGACATTTATATTATAGTAATAACTTAAAATCCCAATTAAAAATTATGACAAGTTACACACAGGCAAGTAAAGCAGTCTCAGACAGCTTTTAAACAGGCCTGGGGGTGGCATACAGTCCATAAGCAGTTAAGTTGCGAACCCCATGCTCCTGCCAATCTGCACTGCTCCCCCGTTGCTCTGGTTGTGACAGCAGCCAGAGCCTAAGCTTCCTCTTCCTCAGATTCATAGATGTTAGGGTTGGAAAGGACCTCAGTAGGTTATCGAGTCTGACCCCCTGCCCTGGGCAGGAAAGAGCGAATGTCCTCCAATTCTGGAAGTGGCACAAGCCAGCCCCTGGGCTGCTCTCACCATTCCTGGCCTTCTCCAAGAGAGTCCTACAACTCTCCCACCAGGTCCCAGCTAGCTGCTGCCGCCTGCTTCTTCCCAAAAAAGCAGGACCTAAATCCCTTAAAAAGGTCAGCAAGTTTATGACCACATTTTTTTGTGGTGACTTCATAGGATCATAGGAAAGTAGGGCTAGAAGAGACTTCAAGAGGTCACCCAGTCCACCTTGCTGCTCAAAGCAGGATCAGCCCTGACTCGCCTGCAGGCCTCTGACCATATGAGTGGCCCTCCCCCTCTCAAGAGTCTCTGCATCCCTCTTGAAGTGTGGCACCCAAAGCTGGACACAGTACTTTAACTGCAGCCTGACCCGTGCCACAGAGGGGAAGCATCACCTCCCTGGACCTGTTCTTCATGCATCTGCTAATGCAGTTAGCCTTGTTGATCACTTCATCACATTGACAACTCATGTTAATCTTGGAGTCAACTATGACTCCAAGATCCCTTTCCACTGCTGTGCTGCTGAGGTCAGCCCCCAGCCTGTAAGTGTTGGTGGTTCTTTTTGCCCAGGTGCAGCACTTTGCACTTGTCTTTGTTGAACTGCATCCTATTTCATTCTACCCATTTTTCCAACCTGTCCAGATCCTCCTGGATCTGTTCCCTACCCTCTGCTGTGTTAACTTTGCCCCATAATTTGGTATCATCTGCGAACTTGGACAGGGTGCTCTCCATGCCCTCATCCAAGTCGCTGATGAAGAAATTGAATAGCACTAGTTCAAGGACCGAGCCTTGCAGGACATTCCACTGCCCACATCTTTCCAGGTTGATATCGACCCATTCACCACCACTCTCTGGGTGTGACCCCTAAGCCAATTTGCTACTCACCTGACAGTTTAATCATCTACATCACAGCCTGTCAGTTTATTTATGAGAACAGAATGCAATACCATATCAAAGGCCTCCTTAAAGTTTAGGTAGATGACATCATCCTCCACTCCATTACCACCTCAGGGGGCAAAGTAGAGTGGTACACGCAGTGCAGCTCAAGGAGCAGAGCCAGGGCTGTGTGAGCACACAGTGCAGCTGTGGGAGTGTGGGAAGGGGAGCTGCATGGGTGTGTACTGCTACAGTGGGGCGCCTGCACAGGCATGTAGTACCAAGCAGTATGTAGCCTGAGGGGTGTGGGGAGTGGGGGCTGTGGTTTACTTGGTGAGGCCTGTGGGTATGCAGCCCCTACTGGGACTCTGCCCCCCCGTCCCTTAAAAGTTGGATAGCCCTGGCTTAGGACAGAACTTGATGAGAATAAAAGATGGGGCAAAGGTTAATAGGGAGCAGGTAGCAATTAAATGAATAAATTTGAACCAAACAAGCACAAAGTTAAAGTTCTGTTGGTCTAACTTCTACTAAAAGAGGTATTGCATAAGCATTCACAGCAGAAGTGAATCTGAGGACGAATTTAAAGAAGAGTGGCAGCTTTACAAATCTTCATGGTGAGAAGTAATGCCAGGGGAGAAAGTCAAGAGGTATTTGCAGGTGAAGTGACAAACAAGCAATCAGATCTAGCATCTTTGGCAAAAAGAAGGCAGGGGTCAACAGCTTAAGTAGTTAGCAGACCTGATATTAGCCATCTATGAAGTTAAACAGAGCCTTGTTTTTGTTATGCAGCCTGAAGATGCTAATTGTTTATGCTGAATGGTATATAGAATCTTAAGTAGGTCTAAAAATATTTAGAAGAATTCCAATTTACAGAAAGGTTTCAGTTACCTATGTGTTTTGGATCAAACCAAGAACTTCTAAAAGCAGTTTGATAGTATTCATAGGCACTACTTACAGGAGCACTGTCATGTTCCACAGAGAAGTTACAGACAATCCAAGTTTCAGGATCATTTTCACTGAATGCTGGTATCTTTCTAATGGCTGACAGATATAGCACATCCCGTTGGGAAGCAGGCCACACTCTCTGCAAGGAAATACAGGTTACTAAAGTGTATTAAACTGAAAAAAACCCCACTGTCAGCCAAGAATTCTCTAATAGAGAGGAAAGCCTCCAGCTCAACACCAACAAATATGGTCATTGTCACATTAGTGCCTAGAAATCTACGGGGGGGGGGGGGGGGGGGGAGGAGGGAGAGGGGA